CTGTGTGGCCTCTAGACTGCTGCCGCAAGTCACTACAAATTAGTCCCAGCTACGCCGCATGCCAAACACCACAACTCATACTCTATAGTTCAACAACATATAACCAATAACTAATCAATAGTATTTCTGTGAACCAATGAGAATTCCTTACTAACAAATGTGTATCAGCCTACCCCTTGCTTCCCGTTTTGCTTTTTTATTTATTTATTTTTTATTTTTTTTATTTTTATTTTTTGAGTTGGAGTCTCACTCTGTCCCCAGACTGGAGTGCAGTGGCCGCTCCCGGCCACCGCAGCCTCGACCTGCTGGGCTCCGGTGATCCTTCCGCCTTAGCCTTCCATGTAGCCGGAATTACAGGCATGCACTACCACGCCTGGCTGATTTTTTAAAAAAATTTATTGTAGAGATGAGGTCTCGCTGCCCAGGCGGGTCTCAAACCCGCGGGCTCAGGCAATCCACTCACCTCAGCCTCCCAAAGGCGCGGGATTACAGGCTGAGGCATCGAGCCCGGCCCCTTTTTGCTTTTAAAAATCTGCTTGTAACAAAGGCCACAAGGAGTTCATATCCAAGGTTACTTGGGGTTGAGTCCTCTGGGCAGCTGTCCTCACCTTGGCTCAAGTAAACTCTTTAAAGCTCTATTCTGTACCTCAGTTTCTTCCTCTAGGTCACATTTCTGATGCAACAACCTGGATTCAGAGCCATTTCCCCCCTGCCCCCGACCCTTTGCCGGTCCTCTCAGACTCAGCGTCTGGTCAACCAGAACTTCTTGTGTTCTTCCGGCTCCAAGAGTAAGGGGTGTAAGGGTTCTCCAGAATTTGGGCCTCCCTACTTTTTGGTGAGGTCTAGACTTTGCTTGAGGTGTTCTTTTCAACCTTCCCTTTCTAGAACAAAGGCTTCCATCTTTGTCTATGGGAAAGAGATTCAGGTTTCAGAAAGAATAAAAAAGAAAAAATACGAGATTTTTTCTGTCTCTGTAACACTCTCTAAAAGACAAGGTGCTTGACAAAATCTTTATGCCGGAGTTGAGACTTGAATAAGGTTTCAAAGAAAGGGCAGGTCTTAAATGAAGAGGAAGAAAGGAAAATAAAGCCAAAATTTGACACGGAAAACTTGAAATCCTGGAACTGCAGTACTCATTTTTTTTTATCACTCAAGACCCTCCTCACTTCTAGGCAGTGTGCAGTAAGTGCCAAGTGTGAGCTCAGAGACAGAGTGAATGATCTCCTGAGCAGGCTCCCTCTCTCTCATCCGTTCGCTCCAGGCCACTCTGCAATTCAGCAATCTTCCTACATGGGCTATTTTAAATTTCATATGTATTTTCTACTTAAGGATAGTCAATGGCTTCTCATGGCCTAGAGGGTAAGGTCTTTGGATGTAAATATAGGACATAACACAGAAAAAATTTGCAAAAAATAATGACATAATTTTACAACTTGAAAATGATATAATGAAAGAGGTAAGAGTATTTCTTCAGTTCTCTACAACACTCAGAGTCAGCCCCTAGGAACCACTCCTATATCAAATTCCTCTACTTCTTACAATAATAATTTGAGCAATATGCATATGTATTTAATTTTGTATTTATTATCTCCAAATAGCCTTTATTTCTCTCTGCCATGAAGTATAAGGAGCTTAGAACATTCCTCTCCTTTAACCTTTTCTTTTTATTCCTGTCTCAAATTTTTGGAGCTATTATTTTTAGAGGGGAAATGTTTATAACATTTACACTCCACTTTGTAAGTATAATTAAGTCTTTGTTCTTGTTAATACATGACTTTATAAGTAAAAGAAATCTTTTACTTTGTTATGATAATATAAATATTCACTGTAGAACCTATCATTTGATTTAATCCATAGCAAAGAAAATATGATCTGATGTCATTAAAAAGTTTACTATGTGAAAGAGACTCTTTTTAAAATAATTAAATTGAAATTTTAGATTCACGAGGTACATGTGCATGTTTGTTGCGTGGGCAATTAAGTCCTCTGAGGCAACATGGATTGGAGCAGGTTATAGGTGGATTCAAAGATTTCCTGACTGGCAATTAGTAGCTAGAGTTAGCTACGGAATTTTGAAAACACTGAAGAAAATGGACAGCTTAAGAAATAATAAGGGAATCAAGTTTCTTAATATGTAGATGAAGCTTCATAGGTGGTGGCAGACTTCAGAGAGAATGGATAAGCATCTTAAAAGGTGCCTGGAGTCCCCAAAAAACATCTGAACTGGGTCATAAAATATGTTTTCTTTCTTTCTTCCAGAATTTGGGCCTCCCTACTTTTTGAGGGATGCTATGTGATGTTATGCCAGAGTCAGGTTGGAAAGAAACCACAACTATATAGCTAATAAAAAGCCCATCTCTCCAAAAAGGTCAGAGTTTGGTCCACATTATGAAGAAAATGAATTTGATGACAATAGCTGAAATGTAAAGATCAGAGACTGTTCTTTGCAGCATCTTCTATGACATAATAAACAGCTGAATACCACTCAACTATTGGAATTTGTGTTTGCTCAAATACACACAGAAATGGTCTTAAAATTAATATGCCTAAATTGTTTTTTTTTCAAATTTACCCATTTCTCACCTGATATATTGATTCACGGCCAGAAATATGTTTTACTAAAAGTTTGGCATCTTCTTGACTTTTGACATAGCCTTTTGTAATACTGTACATCAAGCCGAGGCCATTTCTGATGCGCACATCTACAATCTTTGTCAGTCTTGGTATTAAAATCTGGAATAACGAGGAGGAAAAAAACCATGTAAAATTGGTGAGGAGAAGCACCCTCTGAGACAAACGTACTTTTTTTTTTGAGTCAGAGTCTCACTGTCGACCTGGCTGGAGTGCAGTAACAGGCTCACGGCCACCGCGGCCTCGACCTGCTGGGCTCCGGGATCCTTCTGCCATAGCCTTTCAAATCAGCTTGAACCATCGGTGCACACCACCACTCCTGGCTAATTTTTAAATTAATTGTAGAGACAAGGTGCATCATGGAGTACAGCTTTGAAATGACCCTCTTGAAACCCCTCTCGCTGTCCAGTTTCGAGCCCAGCAGGTGGAGGCTGCGGTGGTCGTGGACAGGCTGTTCCCGAGCCCCTGGGTTCAGGCAATCCTCTCACCTCCACCTCCAAAGTGCTGGGATTACAGGCGTGAACTATCACATTCGGCCTGAGACCAAAAAGCGGCCTCTTCACATCAGCAATAGCACCGCCCAGAAACTTGTGAGAAATGCACATTCTCAGGTCCCACCCCCGTCCTACTGAATGGGACACTCTGGGGGTGGGTCCAGCAATCGGAGTTCCAACAAGTCCTCCAGGTGATTCTGTGCATCCGCTAGTTTGAGATCCACTCCCTGAAGGATAACTGACTCTGTGGCCATCGGGGGAAGTCTCTAGCACTGCTGCTTGCTTCATCCTCTCCACCGCAGACTTCGGGACGCAGGAGCGCTGGTCCCACAATCTGGGTATCACCTAGTGAACAAGTGATCTCTTCGCTCGGGAGAGAAAGAACCTTCCCGCTCTAAATTTCTCTAATCACAGCCGAGACCAGCTGGTGCGGTGACCGAAGGGAAGGAGGCTTGAAACACACACCCTCCTGGGTTCCCGGACCAGCCCTCCCGTTCACCGTTTGGCGACCCTGAGCAAGTTGCCCGGGGCCCGGAGGACTCCGGTTCTCAAGCCCGCGGAGCTGCTCCTCCAAAGCGGCAAGGCCAGGCCCACGGACGGCGCGTCCCCCGGGGCTGGGAGTCGCTCAGCCCGGGGCGGAGGGCGAGGCAGGACCGCGAAGCCGGGGGCAGACGGCGAGCGGCAAACGGCATCCGCGCGAAGGACACCAGCGCAGAGACGGGACAGACGCGGGCGCGGCTGTCTCGCTGGCGAAGCCGGGCAGCGAGGGGGCTTTCCCGAGGGGCGCCTCAAGCCGCCCCCTGAGGCCCTGGCGGCCCCCGGGCGGCCCTCGCGCAGGGGCCCCTCGCCGCCGTGGCCCGGGGCCGCGCCCAGTGCGGCGCGCGGCCGCGGACCAGCGACCGGCGGGCGGAGGGCGCCTCCTGCCGGCCGGGCGCCCTCGCGAGCCCCGCCCTCGAGACGACGCGCAGGCGGGCGGCGAGGCCGCGCGCTCCTCCTGCGAGTCCCGCCCGAGGCCCGTCCGCCTCCGCCTTCCGTGGAAAAGGTCGCTCCCACGAAACCGGGCCCTGGGGCCGAAAAGGGCGGGCGCCCAGGAGAGGCCCGCGCTATTCCGTCCGGGTTGGGATGCAGACCCGTTTCCTTCGAGAGCCACCTGGGGTTCAGACCGGCCGTGCGCCCCCGGCCGGATGTCGCCGGCCGCCGACCTCGCCGGGCGGTGAAAACAGTTCCGCTAGACCGTGCCCTGCGCAGCTCTTGGAAAACAGAAAGGCCTGGGCAGAAAAGCTAACCACGGCCGGGCTCGGTGGCGAGCCTGTCATCCCGCGCCTTTGGGAGGCTGAGGTGAGTGGACTGCCTGAGCCCGCGGGTTCGAGACCCGCCCGGGCAGCGAGACCTCATCTCTGCGATAAAAATCAGAAAGTCAGCCGGGCGTGGTAGCGCGCGCCTGTCGTTCCGGCTACTCGGAGGGCTGAGGCGGGAGGATCGCGGAGCCCAGCGGGTCGACACCGGGGTGGCTGTGAGACTGCGACGGAGCGAGACTCTAACTAAAAACAACAACAACAACAAAAGGCTAACCACGATCATATTAATTCCTTAAACCTACTCCGCTGAGACTTGTCTCAACATACTAGACGTGCATTGTGATTCAGAGCATTGCTGGTCATGCCAGATAGATCTGATTTCCGCATAAGGCATCTTTAAATCTTTGCTTCACTTCAAATACTTTTCGCAAACTATTACTTCTAAAATAATTATTTTACATTGGCCTTCACATGATCTTTGTGTAAATACTGATTACCTAAAGAAACGCTTCACTTTCCGCTTCAAGTCCTAGCCTCATACTGCACATCCTGACTTCTCCAGTGGTTTGTATTGTAGAGTTACACCTGGCATGAGCAGATTGCTGCAAACTCAGTTCATAAGGCAATAATCATACAGAATCAAAATTGTTCTTTAAAGCAGGCTTTGTTCGGTAATTCTTATGAACACTAAAGTTTAGTTACACTGATATGGAATAAATAAAGGGACAAAAAAGAAAGTCTATAAGCACAAGCTGGACATTCAAACAATTTTGACTTAAAGATAACTCTTAGATTTTGTGGCGAATGGGGACTAGATTGAGGATTCTAATGTGTGCATTTTCACATCAGAGTTTATAGCAATTTTTAAAAATGTTAAGCTGCTATAACTTCAATGCATAAGAATAGACTTGTTTGATGTCATAAAAATTAAACAACAGAAAGGGGTGGCAAATAAAACTATTTAAATCTGTCAAGTAAAATGTGTATATAATTTAATTCCACTGGAAAGAGAAAGGTAGTATAAGAGCTAAGACTGACAACATACAAATCTGTCTTCAGCATAAAAACCAGAGTCATGCAAAGAAGAAATGGTAATTATTAGGGGGATTGAAGACCACAGTAAAAATTAACTTCCATAGGCAGTAAACTATGTGTGTGACCTTGGGGTTAGGGAGAAAATAGTCTTGTTTCTGCCAAGCTTGGGAGATATTAACAAATTTTACTGAAACTTCAAGAACTTGCTCTTGGATCACCCGGCTTTTAGTGGCACCAAGGTTTTCATTCATTCACTTACCAAATATTTATTAAGTACTTACTACATGCCAGGCACTGTTCTAGAGCCATAAAGGAACCATAGAGGTAATCAATGACCAAACCAAGGGTCCCTACCTCCTAGAGAGTATATACAATGTACAGTAAACTGCTAGCAAGTGCTACGTAGGGGAGAAAAACAGAAGTTGAGAAGGTGGAGGTGATCAGGAGCTCAGGGAGGTGGAGGGTAGCTTGATGTTTTACACAGGGCTGTTGGGAAGGCTGTGACAAGGCAAGCTCTGAGCAGTGACTGGCAGGAGGTGAGGAAGTGAGCCATTGCATTTCTTTCTAAACAATGAGGTTTCTTAACTTATGTGACGATGTAGGAAAAACTACTACTACTTTAAAGTGAGAAGTCTTAGCCGGGCTTGATGGCTCAGCCTGTAATCCTGAGCTTTGGGAGGCTGAGGTGAGTGGACTGCCTGAGCAACTTGGGTTTGAGACCTGCCTGGGCAACTTGGCGAGACCTCGTCTCTACAATAAATCAAAAACTAGCCCGGCGTGGTAGCGCGTGCCAGTAATTCCAGCTACTCGGAAGGCTGAGGTGAAAGGATTGCTGGTACCCAGCAGGTCGAGCGACCACTGCACTCCAGTCTGGGTGACAGAGTGAGCGGCCACTGCACTCCAGTCTGGGTGACAGAGTAAGACTCCAACTCAAAAAAAACCCCAAATAAATAAAAAATAAATAAAATGAGAAGTCTTACCTTGAAGAGGGAAAGAAATCTACCTAATCTTAAATATCCTAATATTACTGTAACCTGAATAAGAGCCAAATTGTCTGGTCTCAATTTCAATGAATATATGCAAATAATCTCAAGGACTGCCAAAACCAAGATTAAAAATTCCAAAGTATTCCAAGGTTGTTTAAAACATTTCCTTTTCAAAATTATTATCTGTTTAGGAAAGACATAGAATGAATGTCATTTCATAGTACCTATAAAGTGATGGGGGAGAACTAATTTTAAGTCCTTAACTACAAATGAGTTATATTCTAAAAGTTGAGTTTTAAGTTATTTATTTAGAATCCCCCCCAAATTCTTTTAATCTCCAACTTCAAAACCTATAATTTGTTTGAAAATATATAATCTACAGGGCACGGTGGCTCTCTCCTGTAGTTCCAGCAGTTTGGGAGGCAGAGGTGAGAGAATTGCCTGAGCCCAGGGGTCCAAGACCAGCCTGGGCAACTTGGCAAGAACTTGTCTCTACAACAAATCAAAACATTAGCTGGATGTGGTGGCGCATGCCTGTAGATCCAACTACTTGGAAGACTGAGGTGGAAAGATCGCCTGAGCCCAGCAGGTTGAGGCTGCAGTGACCATGAGCATGCCACTGCACTCCAGCCTGGGTAACAGTGAGACCCCAACTCAAAAAAAAAAAAAGAAAAGAAAAAAATATATAATGTACAATGAAACTGAAATGCCAAAAAACAATCATTAAAAATTAGCAATAAACAGGTTCATTGCCAAAGCATTAATAATAAAGTATGTGAAAGGAGGGGTCCCAAGAAACTTAGAATAAACTTAGTTCACATTCTGCCTCAGCATAACCATTTTTGCTTAGACTGACACACTTTGAATCTAACACAGGTTGGACATAGATAATTTCAATAGGCAGGTTTCAGGAAGGGTTCAGACATTTTACTGCAGGCCAAGCTGGCAGCCTACCCCACCCCTTGGCAAATCTCCATCAGATGCAAGACAAGCACAGTCCAACTATTCAATTCATGGTTTAGCATAATAATCTCTAAGAAACTTTCAGGGCCCTAGAAATGATAATAAGACCTTTCTGCTAAAGAGCTTGAGGATTGAAAACGTCTGACAATCTCTTGCAGGAAAAACCTCTCCTCTTGCCTCTTCCCATCTAGCCCACCCATGGCAACAGTCATGTGACTAACCCACCTGTCCGCCTGCTATCCGTCACCTGACCTCAGTCCCTGCGCTTACCTGCCCCTTCGTGATGGCATGGAGCAGACCGCCACCCAATCACCTCAATGTCCTTCCTCCATCAAAGGGAAGGATTAAGAGGACTCAAGCACAGCATCCAGCCGCCATTGCCCCTTGTCTTGAGCTGTGACCAGGCCATGTTTTCTTAATCTTTGGTTCCCTCCCCTACCTTGAAGAGGGGAATCTCCTCTTTCTCTCTCTCTCGAACTTACTTTCTAAATAAACTATATTTTCTGATCTAACTTATGTGCATGCTATGCATCTTTCGTGTGGCATCGGATTGCACCCTAGACACCCACACCCCCTGCGGGTCTAACCTAACATTCTGAAGACCCCGCTGGGAGTATGACCCAACAGCATGAAGATAAAAGCTGATAAATCACCTTTGAAGCATTTATCCTAAGAAATCGTTCTTACATTATGACATGGATCTAGCAAATCAATTTGCTTTTGTTCACTTATTTATTTCTTGTATCATTACAGAAAGTATTTGAAGGAAATATTCATGTCTGGATTTTCAGTTCTCTCTTACCTGATCTTGAGATTCTCTCTAATTTTATAATATTTACCTGATGTCCAGGACTGTAACTGTTATACTGATTTCATTATTAAACTTAGAAAATTAAAAAAGGTTGCTAAAATTCCAGGATTTTGTCAAGTATCATAACAAATGGTTGCTGGTATTTATTTCAATGTTATGCAAAAATAGATTCAAAATATCTGAACTATTCTTTTTATACACTATATTTCTATTTTAAGCAGTACCCTCAATGCTGATTTTATTACACATAAAAATATATAATAGTAGTTTATTAATGTCAGCGTTGACACATTTGACTCTCTTGCCATTGGGCATAGATGTATTATCACAGGATACATCAGTGTTATAACATGTTCTGCATATTCAAATTCTTCAGAGGATACAATGTGATGCACATAAATCAGAAATTTATTACTTCTTAAAAAAATGAAATCAAATAAAATGTCACATCACTGAAAAGTATAATTAACAGCTGATGTTCAACATTTGCTTAAACAAAGTCATTAAAATTAATTTGAAGAAGACTATAAGTAATATAAAATAATAGTAAGTAAAAATCAAAAGCATACTTTCTATACATAAAAATCATAATGGAGAAAGATTTTTAAAATATGCTTGTTAATCTATATAAGGGATAGGACCATTTTTAAAAATCAAAGTTATAATACCTATGAAACCATGCAAAGATTCACAAATCAAATGCAAGAAACAAATACATTTAGAGGAAAGTGAATTACACATTTGCTTAAAAGTCAGAGCAGGAATATATATTCTATTCAATAATTACCATGACATTGAAACTTTTCAATTCATCTAAAGTAGAGTCTAATGAAAAGATATCCCTTGGTTATATGTCAAAGTCTTAGGGTTCTAATTTTTATATTTCTCTTTAAAACTATTAAATGGAAGAAAGTAAAAAATATATATTCTAGCACTTGTTATAAAAGGTTATGCTAATACCGACTTTAAATTTTACAGCATTAATGCCCTTGGTATGCTCTTGTTTTGACACCTACTGGTAGAAAAATTTTGTCTTTCTGCTCTAAAAATTATAGAAGCTCACAATTTATACATCAAAGCAAAGAATCTACCCAAGTTAAGTAAAATCTGTATTTTGTGATATTTTGAAAAATTGGCTATGGGTATGATCAAGGCCATATTGTGTTTTTCCTAATCATAGATCAACAGAACCACCCTAAGCACAGATGAAATTAGGCAGAGCTGATCTAGTCCACCAGTTAGATATTTTTCACTCTTGCTCTATGTTATACCCAGAAGAATATGTGAGTAGCCCCGTACACAATATGACCTTAAGACACAACTAAAAATTGAGGAATCCAAGCCTGACTCGGTGGCTCAGCCTGTAATCCCACGCCTTGGGAAGCTGCGGTGAGTGGATTGCCTGAGCCTGCGGGTTCGAGACCCGCCTGGGCAACTTGGTGAGACTTCATCTCTACAATAAATCAAAAAATTAGCCGG